AAGTATACGTTCGAAGAGTTCAGTACTCTTTTATGTCGGATTGAGGCGTGCCTCAACTCACGACCATTGAGCCCCGCTTCGAATGAACCTACCGACCTGGAGCCTCTCACTCCAGGTCACTTTCTTACTGGTGGACACCTGCTAGCCCCACCTGAAATCGACGTTCACGAGAATCCTGCCTCGATAGTAAATCGGTGGCAGAAGCTAAAGGCCCTTCACCAAACTTTTTGTAAACGATGGAAAACCGAATATTTATCCGAACTGCAAAAGCGGATTAAGTGGAAATATCCACAGCAAAATATAAAATTAGGAGATCTCGTTGTCATCAAGGAAGACAACCTCCCGTCAAATGAGTGGAGATTAGGTCGAATTATCAGCCTACATCCTGGTCCCGACGATCGAGTACGCGTAGTTGACATCATCACGGAAAAAGGGCAGATTACGAGACCGCTGGCCAAACTGGTCCTACTTCCATCCCAAAATCAAGAAACCGAGGAGCCAGCAAGCACTTCGTAAATAAACCCTCTCCGTTGATCCCCAATCCCGCGTGAATTCCACTTCCTCATCGCACAAAAATTCCACTTCTATGCATTCGGAAGGATTCAACGCCTATAATCAAGTTTAACCCAGAGCAATATTAAAGGTAGTCGTGTTTTTAGTTAGATTTTTGGTGATGGTTCTTAGCCCGGCCTCTCCGGGTAGATCTGGGTATAAAGAACCGACCATCGTTAGATCTTGTAAGCATAGAATCGGGTAAAAATAAGACAGACCCAGCGTGATGAATCGGGTAAAAATAAGACAGACCAAGCTTGATGAACAATTGTTTCAGAAATACGAAATTGGTAACGAGGTGCGAATTATCAATTAAAATCCTCCAAAAAATATAATAATAAGCGAAATAAGTTGAAAGTCGTTACAATTGTTCATTATGCTTGCTCGTTTTTCAACACAACTAGGTCTGATGGGAAGCGAATACATTTTACTTGACAGGTTTCGATAATCGTCAGTCAACCCATTAGACCAAATGAGTTCGCCTCAATTGTCAAAACCTACCAGCAAAGACTATAGTTCAGCCGAAAAAAAAAAAAAAAAAAATATCTATACATACATATGCATATATTTTAAAGGGATATGTCTAACTCACCCATTTTTTCGGCATTAGTTCCGTTATGTGCGCCAGTTCCGCTCGTAGGTATTAGTCCTTTGTGTATTAGTAAACTTGCAGTTTCCACCTCCACCAATATGAGAATTATTGTTGTTATAATCATTAGTGCAGTGGCAGCTGCATAATTTTGGTTGTCTTCTTTATCGGCATCACCTGCGGTTATTCCTGGTTCATAATCCGATGACTTACCATTGTGCGATATGGGTGTACAATGGTTACGATCTTGAGCGATTTGGCCATTGAGTTGGAAGCGATAATTGTAATGACGGGTTAGACGCACCGAGCTATACTTTTGCATATGACGCTGAAAGCGATATGGCAATTGGTTTATATATTCGGGGATAGATATTGTTCAATTTTGAGTGAGTCACATCTTATAAACAACATTAATTAGAATAATGTACAGCGCACCCCCAACTTAAAACAGTAAAGTGCCCATGCCACCCATCTCCGATTGCTCCTTAACGAAGATTTCGAAGTACTGATAGATGATGGTTACAGCCAGCAGACTACCTGTACCTGAATCAACGGCACCCAAAAGGTCAGCCATAACAGATAACGCGTCAATGCAGCCACCACCAACATCAAGCCCAAGTATCCAACAAATGTGACAACGAATACAATCTTGGCAATTTTGCAATTCGTGCTTTAAATGCAGCCTGCACAGTTTTTTAAAAACGGAGTGGTACCATATTCTTGCTGAGCCAATGCACAAGATGGCGATACTGACGGGTATTCCTCTGGAATAGCTACAGTAATTGGTGGTACGCATGGTAAACGTTTGTCATCGAGACAACAAATCACTTTTATAGATTTTGGATTATTTTGAGCTGTGCTGTCAAGCATAAGTTTAAACTTTTGATCTAATCGTGCTACTTCGCCTTGAAGTAGATGAGGAACTTCGCATTCGTATTGAGACGATTTCTCACACGTACGACATATTTCGCAGTATTTTAATACAAGGGAAACGTTATGGACCACTAGACTTTGCAGCGGCAATTGCTATGTGCATTGGTTTAGCTTGGTTTACGCTCGCTGACTCGCAAGTATCACCGAATTTTAATGTTACTGGAGTGGCATATATTTAAATGTTTATAGTAAAAAAAAAAAAAAACAAAGATGACTATGCGAGACTTTGAACACAAGTTGAAGTACGCACATAACGCCTTCCGTATATGGGAAATTCTGACTCAAAATTGAACTTCCGCAAAGCCATAGTACAACTCACCACAGAAAAACCAAAAAATTGATGACACCGACGATCAATTTTGGGACCAATTTTGGTACGCACATCAAACTTCTTTAGAAGATGTTTTCGCCTTGGTCACATCAGCCGAAATACGAAATATACGTAATGAAAATCCTGCCAACTTGGCGACATTGTGTTACAAGGCCGTGGAAAAGTTGGCCCTGGCCGTGGATAACAGTTGCCGCACACATGTGGAACAGCAATGTGTTTTGAATTGTGTACGACTATTAATACGCATATTACCGTACATATTTGAAGATGAAAAATGGCGTGACTTTTTCTGGAGTAGTCTGCCTACGCGCAGTACACCCACATCTGCTGACGCAGCAGATATCCTTCGTGAAAATTCGCCACGACATACAGGCCCACAGCCAGTACCCTTGGCCCAATCGTTGATAAATGCTTGGTGTGATTTGCTTTTTTGTCCTGATTTCACGGTACCTGCAACACGTCGTGCCGGGCCCGACAAGGCTGAAGAGTTGGCCAATATAAACAGTTGTGAGTATATATGGGAGGCAGGTGTTGGTTTCGCACATTCGCCACCAAAAAATTCCTACATGGAAAAACGACGAGCAGAAATTTTAAAACTTTTGCTCACTTGCTTTTCGGAAACCATCTATAGCTTAACGGATGAACCTAACAGATGGATTGCATACTTTACCTCAGCTGATAATCGTCATGCGCTACCACTCTTCACTTCATTGTTAAATACAGTGTGTGCTTATGACCCAGTGGGCTTGGGCGTACCATATAACCATCTGCTATTCGTAGACACAACCGAACCACTTGTTGAGGCTTGGCTGCAGATACTCATAGTAACATTAGATCACGATATGATTTTGCACCAGCAACAGCAACTGGAGTTGCAACGTCAAGTGCAAGGCCGTAACAAACCCTCATCCTCTTCGACAGTTAACTCTTATGATGATGGTTTCGGTGATAATTTGTTTATCAATTATCTTTCGCGTGTGCATCGCGATGAGGACTTTCATTTCATACTGAAAGGCATAACGCGCCTGCTAAACAATCCGCTTGCTCAAAATTACCTACCAAATTCAACCAAACGTCTTCATTGCCATCAAGAGTTGCTTATACTATTCTGGAAGGTGTGCGATTTTAATAAAAGGTTTCTTTATTTCGTGCTTAAAAGCTCAGATGTGTTGGATATACTCATACCAATACTATATCATTTGAACTACTCGCGCGCAGATCAATCACGAGTGGGCCTCATGCATATTGGAGTGTTTATACTTCTACTATTATCCGGTGAACGTAACTTTGGTGTACGTCTCAACAAACCCTACACCGCCACGGTGCCCATGGATATACCAGTTTTTACAGGAACTCACGCTGATCTGTTAATTACGGTTTTTCATAAAATCATAGCTACAGGCCATCAACGCCTGCAACCACTCTTTGACTGTCTACTTACCATACTTGTGAATGTGTCACCTTATTTAAAGACTCTATCAATGGTGGCCAGTGTGAAGCTTCTGCATTTGCTAGAAGCTTTTAGCACTCCATGGTTTCTGTTGTCAGCGCCAAATAGTATTCTTCTTGCTTGAAATCTTCAATAATATCATACAATATCAGTTCGATGGCAATTCCAATTTGGTTTACACCATCATTCGAAAACGACATGTATTTCACGCGATGGCAAATTTACCCTCGGACATGGCGGGTATCGCAAAATGTATAAGTGGACGAAAAGTCGGTAAATTCAATATACCCACCAGGGCCACCAGAACGGCTAATTTGATTCATGTGATCTGAAAATCGAAAAAGATTAATAAGTACAAAAGCCTGCAATTTCGCATGCATACTCACCCAACCGTTCCAGCAAACTTACGTAATGGCCGCGTGGTAGTAAAATTTTAGACAATGACATTTATGCATTGTATGTATGTATGTATGTGATTACGTTCCACATCAGGAATAGACCTAGCGCCGTTCTCCATTCATATTGGAGAATAGCTATGTTTCTTTACGGACAATTAACACTAACCCTAACTAGCTGCTGCTAGTTTTGCATGGTGACCGTTCGTAGACAATAAATTTAATTGCTGTTGTCATACAATTGGGGATTTTAAATGTAAAACCAGAGAACTTAGATAGATAGAGAAGGTGCAAACTGAAAGTGGAAACTATTCGCGGACGAAAAATTAACAGCGTTAGAAAAGTTCAAGTCGGAATGTAAAAATTCTGTTGAATTTAATGTTGATAACATAATACAATGTTGAGCAACATGAAATGTGATGTTCTTTGTGAGCAAATAAACGAAAATATGGTAAATCTTCACATAATTTTCATTAATTTGTAATTTTTGTTAAATTTTTTATCTTGTTCTCCTTTTATGAAGATGCAAATACAATTTAAAATAATGATAGTTTGGCATAAAGTTTACACACATATGTACATGCATACATATACTGGCAATCAAAAGTGAGTGCATGGTGTTTTTTGCTTAATATTTGCAATGTTTTTCAATTAAATTTTTTTATTATCTTTTTATAAAAATGTGGTTCATGCTTTAATTAAAACTACATAAGTCAAACTTTCAAACTTTACACAGAACATAGAAAAATTCAACGACTTCTCGTCTAAATTTTGACCTGTTTAATCCGAATTTTTAAAAAAATTTTGAGTACGCAGATTGATCGGTTTTTTAATTCTAGTGGAACAAGATCAAGTTTTAAGCGGCTAAAAAATCGGGTGGATTTTTAATGATTTTTTATTGCTAACGGCTTTTTGCACTTTTTACCAAATAAAAGGGAATTTCTTGTAGAATAAAATGCGCATGACCTTTTGCAAACAAATAAAAAAAAATTAGCGCAATTTTTTACAAATTGCACTTGCTATATGCATAAAACCGCAATTCCCGTCGAAAATAACATAAAATTTTAACTTAAAAACATTGCAAATATTAAACAAAAAACAGGATGCACTCACTTTACCAGTGTACATACATATTTGTGTTTAAAATTAACTATGTATTTATGAAATAATTTTTGTGGCACGAACATATACATACATACTTGCCCTTTCTAAAAATGGGAATAAAAATTGGATTCGCATAAAATTTTAATTCCAATAACTAATTTTTAGTAACTTTTGGCAAATTTGAGCGATTATGTGAAATTATGCATGCGTTTGTACCTACATATCCATTTACATATATTATTTTAAACAAAGCTAATAGTAAAATTTAAAATGGAATATGAATATGACAATTAAAAAAAAAACAAAAAAAAAAAATTATTACTTGGTCCGTCCGGGATTTGAACCAAGACAAACGGCGAGACGCCAAAAAGTTGCGTCGCCTCTAGCATACGCGCCACAGTACATCATTCAAATTCCAATCTCTAAATCACTACATATATGAAATTCTTCATATATTCAAAAAGACAAACGAATAAATATGTATGCATTAATAAATGTAAATATGTGCATACATATGTACGATTGTACTGGTTTCGTCTTCCCCTCGCTGTCAACCAACCACAGACAAATTATTAAATTTCTGCGAATTGCCACGACGCCACCAAAATTAACCCTTGGTTGACCAAATATTTAGGTTTTCGCATAAGTTTACATTTAATAAAGCCATACTCGTACATTTTATATGGAGAAGAATACTAATTAATTTAAAATTCTGCATGTAACCATGTTCTCGACGATACATGTAACTTTCATCAAGATTAACCAGAAAAATTGTGCTTCATTAACAGTTGGAACCAGCTGAAACCAAAAAAACTATGTCCGCTAAAAAGTGTTAAAAACCAACTGGAATTGACATTTTTTACACGCATACATGCATACATTCATATACACATGTACAGTGGAGTAGCACTAGCTTGGACATTGCATTGCTTGTACTTTGATGTGTTTGAATCTTTTATGGTACTGAAGATTTGCTTACGGATGAAAAATATTAAAAATCGTCCGTGCATATATGTAAATATACTTTTATAAACGCTTTGAAGTATAGAAATTTTTAATATTAAAAAATAAATAAAATAATTTTTTTGTATATATGTAAATGGTGTTCAAGGCACATTGACCCACCTGTACAAAAATCGTGGCGCGTCATGGACAAAAATTTTACAATTTCGGACCGAAAAAATGTGAAAACGAGCTAAGTTGCCACGTTACATCTGTGAACTTCCGATAAAACCACATATGTTTGTGATTTTAGAAGTTTTGATTTTATTTAAAAAAATTAATGTATTTTCCTGCAGAAAACGTACACTTTTATTTAATGTTTATTAAAATGACGCTTTAAAATACTAGTTAATGATTGAAATATTGGTATGGAACAGAGAAATAGAGTGTTTTGTCAAAAATTACCAAAAATTGCCAAGATTCGAGATAACTTATTTCACTGGTTATAGAGAAATAATTGCCACTTTTCACTTGGCTGGCCGAGATTTCTTCATTTTAAGATTTTAGAATTTTTGTGTCGGATTGACAAAGTTGCGCTTGTTGGTGATGAATTTGCGGGGAGATGTGCTGCGGTTGTTTTTATGAATGAATTTACTTGGCCTTGAGAAATATGCGCATGCGTTTAGGAATGAAATAGTTATTGTTGTATTTGAATATGCGCGTAATTATGTATGTGTGTATGTATGCTGCCGTGAGTTGTACATATATGTACATATATGTACATTTGTATATATGTGCGTAGTACTTAGACAGCAATATGCACGTATGTATGGATGTACTTATATATGCATGCAAAAACGTTGTCAATTAATGAAGCATGTAGTACATATAGATACATATATGTATGCGTGGGAAATGCATTTTCATTTGACTCCAAAACTATTGGGGCATATTAGTAGACGAAATAAAGTCGACTCTTAAGTTAAAGTTTGTCAGCCCCAAATAAGAAGAAAGTTAGTATGTACTTACATATATGTAATATTATGTGCAGGTGCAAGAACGTTATCAAAAAAATGATTTTGGAGTATGTGTATGGGGTACATATTTACATATGTAAGTACATACATACATACATTCAGCTGCCATCAACAAATTATGTTTATTTATTTTTAATAATTTCCTTTAAAATATAATTCAATCTGGAACAGAAACCACAATAATAAAAGTTTAAAAGCTTGCACAAATTGCAAAAAAATGAATCAACCTTCAAGAAATGGTCATCCAAATTTTTTATTTGAATATTTAATATATTTTCGGGAATGCAGTATTGTGGTCCATTCAACTATATTATAAGAAAGTGCAAGTTTCAAGTTGTTAAAAATTACCGTTGATTTTTTAGATTTTTTTGTTGGGGTGTTGCTGTTTATTTTTCATACAAAAAAAAATTGGTTCATGTGTTATATGGAAGAAAATGCGAACACCCTCCATAAAAAAAAAATTCTAAGAAATCAACGGTAATTTTTAACGACTAGAAACTTGGACTTTAGTGTACTTGATTGAATGGACTACAAAGCTGCATACCCGAAAATTTTCTAAATATTCTAACTAAAATTTTTTAAATTTTTATAACAATTTTTTGAAGTTTGATTAATTATTTTGCAAATTGTGCAAGCTTTTAAACTTTTATTATTGTGGTTTCTGTTATAGATTGAATTATGTTTTAAAGGAAATTATTAAAAATAAATAATAAACATAATTTGCAAACAATATCATTTTGAATTTCGTTGCTAATTAGTTGATCGCATCTGTATGTACTAC